TCTTTTCCTTCCCACCTCTTCATGAGATCATATGTGCCGGATACATAGGACGCTCATAGCATTATGTCTGCAGGCATGTCAGTGTTCATTAACATATTGCTCTATGGTCCTGGCTGTTTCCCCTACGTAACCTCACAATTCCCCGAGAGCACGGAGCACAACACCATCTGGTGCTCCACAGTATCTGTCACTTCCTACGAGCCTCATGGGGGTGGGGTAAGTGGCACAACAGGAGGCCTAGTGTCTCCCAACGAGCCCCGTGAGAGCAGGGATTGCATCTAGGATTAGGGACAGAAATGGTCCCAGATGGACAAACCCCACTTCACATGGAAAGACATAAGTGTCAAGACCCTTCCCGAATAGGGAGCCAAGGCCGGATCACCACTTGGTAAAGACCCTAGCAGCGTAATAATGTGAATCTCTACCAACGAACCGGAGAGCAGAGAAACCAATGCACAGGCATTGGTTTCTTCGAAGAGTAGCTTTGACCAGAGCTCTGGTAAGTTGGAAAAAAAATGAAGGATGGAGTGTGAAGTAGAGGTGTGTGGGGGGGGGGAAGAGGAGGGGTAATATTGGTAAGTGGCCGCAACCACTATGGCTTTTAATATTATTACGTATTATTATTATATTTATTAATATATCTTTATTTCTACCAATACATGTACAAGGTATACAGTCCTAGTTGGCATCAGTGACGTACTACTTGAGTGCACTAGCGATCGAGCTAAGGGTTTGTGTGGCTTGTGTTACGCATATAACCGTGGAAGTGGACGGTGGTGTAGGTGAGAATGTTGGTGCCTGGGTGGTGTTATCCCAGTGTCACCAGGGATGCTGTTAATGTCTAATCTGTTAGCAAAGGAACACGTGTGTAACTACAGTGACAGTACACAAATAACCAGTGAACGATTTATGTATGGTTCCAGACACGGTATTGAGCCTTATTATTCTTTAACTATTGTGACACTGTACTCTGGCATGTGTCCTTATACCTAACAAATTGCAGATAATTCTAAAAATATTATTAGAGGTTAGCCCAGCAAATGAAAATTACCCGTGTTTAATACACTAGACATGCGAAAATACCGATTTATTCTCAGTATTATCCGATATAAATCGCAGAGCTTTCACAGAGGCATAGAAAAAATGTTTTTTTTTTTCATATGAATAAATTATAAACTATATAATTAACTCTTAAAATATAGTAGGTATGAATTACCACTTTTAATAATGTAACTTTTAATAACTCTCATTTATGTGGTCTCTAAAATTAAATATTTATTTCCAGCCAAAGGTCACAGTCTATTGTGTATCAGTTACTAATAAAGTGTTGCCTTAAATTTATACTAATTTATCACTAATAATAAAATTTTATCATATTGTAAAAAAAATAGATTTTAATTTACAAATTCTCAGATTTTTTTCTGACTTGTTGGCTCTAAGGCATTTACGTCAGTGTTTTTCACTTAATATAGTCACCAAATATGATCACTTAATATAGCCACTTAATATAGCCACTTAATATAATCACTTAATATAATCACTTAATATAATCACTTAATATAATCACTTAATATAATCACTTAATATAGTCATTTAATATAATTACCATAAGCCACACTAAGCTATAATCTCAATATGCCGGACTTTTGGGGATCCAGGACTCATTTTTGGCCGGGCTGTGAAGGAGGTTTAAAGTAAACAGTATCATTTCTTTAAATTTCTTACGTGGTCACATATGGATTATCATACCTTATTTCACTAAAACTTAAAACTGACTCTAGGCCTTAAGGCCAAGAAAGAGTCAGTTTTAATTTACCGTACCGACTACGCTACTGTCAGTTGACAACGTTTTATGATTTTATACGTTTAACTTTTGTTGTTTTCCTAAACGAACGTTGACATGATGCAACTGAAGTCGGTTTGCTAGTACAGTCTGAAGAACAGTGTCCAAGATATTGTATGCTTCCAGTTCCTAGCTTCGACGATGCTGTTAGTGTTGAAGATGTCTACAATGAGTCTGTTGGTGAAGACCAATATGTCTCGTCATAACATAGCCACTTAATAGCAATCGGTACAGCAGGAATATTGTAGAGGTGCTCAGTGAAGAAGTGAGGTCTATGGTCATCCCAAAACACTTTGTGCTTTTTATCCCCCACAGGTTACTCGCAGTTCCACCAACTTAATATAAAATTTGCTGGCTCCCAAGAGGTCCAGTGTGCAGCTGTGTTGCAATTTCTTTTCTTAAAGTCAGCAACATATCGGGTCTCTAACAATCAATTCAAGGGCCACCACCAGCAACTTGGTTAGAATCCAACCAACACCACAGAAACCGGTGCTGGTGTGTATAGGCTTCCTTGCAGAGGATGCGGGAAGGTCTGTGTAGGTGAAGCATCCAGAACTATGGACCAACGTGTTAGAAAACAAATTCTGCCGACAGAGACATATAAATAACACACAATTCCAACATCGTAGCACATAGTCACATCATAAGGTGAGAGAAGCAGACGTTATTATCAAAGAAAGTGATTTAAAAATTACACATGTGCAACACTTGGGTATCTTTACTGAGGAAACGTTTCGCCATACAGTGGCTTCATCAGTCCTATACAAAGAACAGTAGCGAAGATCAGAAGGAGTTTAAGGTAATCAGTCCCTCAACCTGGAGTCGATGTAATCAGTCCATCAATCTTGATCTGATCACTGAACCATTTATCTACAAAGTGATTTACTTACATGTTGGTGCCTTGAAGCCAGGAAGACCTCAGTTTCAAACCTTTCCAAGCAAAGTTTATAGGAGCTTTGTTTCTACAGAATTCTCGCCAAAATAATCGTTCCCAGCCAAAAGATTGCCATCAGATGACACAAGGACGTCGGTGAGCCTAGACCATACTAGGCAAGTCCTTGTTCATTACATTTGTGCAACACTAGGATATCATCATTATTACTAAGTTTCGTCACTCAGTAGGCCAGACCATTGGACCAGATCAGTGGTTAGGACCATTGGACCAGACCAGTGTCTCAGAGTTTACAGAGCGGCAGTTTTGTGGACAAAATCGCCTTGTTAATGAGAGAGATCAGAGGAGAATGTCCAGAATGGTTGAAACTAACAAGAAGGCGACATTAACTAGACACATTACAACAGTGTTCTGCAGAAGAGCATCTATGAATGCACAACACTTCGAACCTTGATGAGGATGGGAAACAACAGAAGGCCACACAGGTTCCACTCCTATCAGACAAAAACAGGAAACTAAGGCTACAGTGGGTATAGGCTCACCAAAACTGAACAGTTGAAGTTGGGAAAAATGTCGCTTGGTCTAAGGAATCTCGTTTCTGCTTGACACACACATGGTAGAGCCAGAATTTGGGGTAAGCCTTTGCAATATAGTGTAACAGGAGATTCACAGCATTAATGTGCAACTGACAAATCTGCAACAACTCTGTGATGCTGTTATGCCAACATAAACCAGGATCTCGAAGGAATGTTTCCAGCACCTGATTGAATCCATGCCAAGAAAGAATTCAGGCCGTTCTAAGGGCAATGGTGGGTCCTACCTAGTCCTAGAAGGATGTATCTATAGTTGCCACAGAGTGCACATGACCAGCCACACCTCAGTTTGTGAGCTGACAGAGAGGCCTTAGGCTCTCATAAAACTAGGAGCTTTAATCTTCTTAATAATGTCGGATTATCATTTTATTGCTGTTGGCATCTGAACTTTGGCAGACAGCCATAGTGTTAAAAATTATTAGGAAATTAAAAGTGAACTTAGGAAAGAGCAAGGTGATGTAACAAAAATCTAGGCAATGAAATATTAGATAAATGGGAAGAAGGGAGTATGAAGAAGTAAATCTGTTGAGATGTTTGGGAATACACATGTCTATTGACTGTGGTGGATGAGATGAACCTATAGAACAGATGTTAAAAAAATAAACTGGGTGGTGCACTAAGGCATCTATAGGGACAAATATTTTTTCCACGGAGAAAAGAAAAGGAAATTTACCAGAGTTTAGAGGTACCAACACTGTTCTACGATACACAAATAAACCAAACATGAGAGAGAAATTTATAAATGGAAGGGAACCATTAACTACAACTGCTACAACAGTTTTATTACTCCTCCAGTTCTACCTCTCCCATCCCTAGTCTCTCTCTTATACTGGCTCCCTCCAAGTCGGACCGAAACGTCGTCATAAGACTCATTCTGTGTGCAGATTATGTGTGTATTCTTCCAGTCACGGCACTGTGCTTTGTTTATGCCACTGATGAATGGGTTTGAAGCATGGGTTTTAAACGTTGTAGCGAGGAGGAGGCTGAAGGTAGAGATGTGAGTATTATAAGAAAGTGCATGGATTTTAGAGGAGGTTTGTACATTTAGAGAGGCTGAAATGAAATAGGATGACTAAAAGAGTGTAGTAATCGGGGGAGGAGAGGAGTGAAAGGGGTCGTTCCAGGATAATTGTGAGGAACGGGGGGTAAAGAATGCTTTAAGTGCTACAAGCTTAGACATCCTGCAGGCTTGAGTGACCTCATTAGAAAGGAGTGAGGGGAACCAAGTTTATATGACCTGAAGTGCTGTTGGAGTGTGACCAAGTTAACATTTATGAAGTAATTCAGGGAAATTGGTTAGCCGGACGCGAGTCCTGGAGGTGGAAAGAACAGTGTCTGCACCTGAAAGAGGGCTGGGGATCTTGTAGTTTTGAGAGTCAACTGATCTTCGAAATCAGCGAGCTTCTTGAAACAGTGGTTAAAAGAGCAATGGGGAAAGCGCTTCTTCTTTTTCGGGTCACCCATCTATGGTGAGAGATGGCACGTGTTAAAATATTATTATCATTATTAATTATTTTTATCATTGTAATTATCATAAATTGTTTATTATTATTATTATTATTATTATTATTATTATTATTATAAAAAGCGTTAATACTGAGTGTAATGTATAATTTCTGATATTAATGAAAATTAACGTAATCTAACAGTGTTCCGTCTCTCCGTGTCACAGCGCCGCCGGCCAGCGCGGCGCCGCCCTCAACCACGCTGGTAGGGCAGGCGCAGGAGGCCGCAGAGATGGGTACCTACCCAGTGGGTATGTACCCAGGGCCCTCCACCGTGTTCTCACAGCAGAACAACACGGAGCTGAGGTCCCAGGTGGGAACCACGGCTGTTCTTCACTGCTACGCTCACAACGTTGGCGAGAACACGGTAAGAACACCGTGTTCTGTGTAGAACACTACGTATTATGTATTATTGCTAGCATTCTCTTAAAGTACTCTCCACACCTTCAAATACCATCCACACCCTTCAGATACCCTCCACACCCTTCCTTAGAGCACCCTCCACACCCTTCCTTTGAGCACCCTCCACACCCTTCGAGTACCCTTCACACCCTTCCTTAGAGCACCCTCCACACCCTTCCTTTGAGCACCCTCTACACCCTTCGAGTACCCTCCACACCCTTCCTTCGAGTACCCTCCACACCCTTCCTTCGAGTACCCTCCACACCCTTCCTCCAAGTGCCATCCAAACCCTTCAAATACCCTTCACACCCTTCCTTCAACTGCCGTCCACACCCTTCAAGTACCTTCCACACCCTTCCTTCAAGTACCCTCCACGCCGTTCAAGTACCCTCCACGCCGTTCAAGTACCCTCCACACCCTTCCTTCAAGTACCCTCCACACCCTTCAAGTACCCTCTACACTCTTTCTTCAAGTACTTTCCACACCTTTCAAGTACTCTCCACATCCTACGAGTACCCTCCACATCCTACGAGTACCCTCCACATCCTTCGAGTACCCTCCACATCCTTCGAGTACCCTCCACATCCTTCAAGTGTCCTCCACATCCTTCAAGTGTCCTCCACATCCTTCGAGTACCCTCCACATCCTTCAAGTGTCCTCCACATCCTTCAAGTGTCCTCCACATCCTTCAAGTGTCCTCCACACCCTTCAAGTGTCCTCCACAACTTTCAAGTGTCCTCCACAACTTTCAGGTGTCCTCCACACCCTTCAAATGTCCTCCACACCCTTCAAGTGTCCTCCACACTCTTCAAGTGTTCTCTACACCCTTCAAGTGTTCTCCACACCCTTCAAGTGTTCTCCACACCCTTCAAGTGTCCTCCACACCCTTCAAGTGTCCTCAACACCCTTCAAGTGTCCTCCACACCCTTCAGGTGTCCTCCACACCCTTCAAGTATTCTCCACACCCTTCAAGTGTCCTCCACACCCTTCAATTGTCCTCCACACCCTTCAAGTGTCCTCCACACCCTTCAAGTGTCCTCCACACCCTTCAAGTGTCCTCCACACCCTTCAAGTGTCCTCCACACCCTTCAAGTGTCCTCCACACCCTTCAAGTGTCCTCCACACCCTTCAAGTGTCCTCCACACCCTTCAAGTGTTCTTCACATCCTTCAAGTGTTCTCCACACCCTTCAAGTGTCCTCCACACCCTTCAAGTGTTCTCCACATCCTTCAAGTGCCCTCCACACCCTTCAAGTGTCCTCCACATCCTTCAAGTGTCCTCCACACCCTTCAAGTGTTCTCCACATCCTTCAAGTGTCCTCCACATCCTTCAAGTGTCCTCCACATCCTTCAAGTGTTCTCCACATCCTTCAAGTGTCCTCCACACCCTTCAAGTGTCCTCCACACCCTTCAAGTGTCCTCCACACCCTTCGTGTTCCTCCACACCCTTCAAGTGTCCTCCACATCCTTCAAGTGTCCTCCACACCCTTCAAGTGTCCTCCACACCTTCAAGTGTCCTCCACACCCTTCAAGTGTCCTCCACATCCCTTCAAGTGTCCTCCACACCCTTCGTGTCCTCCACATCCTTCAAGTGTCCTCCACACCTTTCAAGTGTCCTCCACACCCTTCAAGTGTCCTCCACACCTTCAAGTGTCCTCCACACCCTTCAAGTGTCCTCCACACCCTTCGTGTCCTCCACATCTTCAAGTGCCCTCCACACCCTTCAAGTGTCCTCCACATCCTTCAAGTGTCCTCCACACCCTTCAAGTGTCCTCCACACCCTTCAAGTGTCCTCCACACCCTTCAAGTGTCCTCCACACCCTTCGTGTCCTCCACATCCTTCAAGTGCCCTCCACACCCTTCAAGTGTCCTCCACATCCTTCAAGTGTCCTCCACATCCTTCAAGTGTTCTCCACACCCTTCAAGTGTCCTCCACACCCTTCGTGTCCTCCACACCCTTCAAGTGTCCTCCACACCCTTCAAGTGTCCTCCACACCCTTCAAGTGTCCTCCACACCCTTCAAGTGTCCTCCACACCCTTCGTGTCCTCCACATCCTTCAAGTGCCCTCCACACCCTTCAAGTGTCCTCCACATCCTTCAAGTGTCCTCCACCTCCTTCAAGTGTCCTCCACACCCTTCAAGTGTCCTCCACACCCTTCAAGTGTCCTCCACACCCTTCAAGTGTCCTCCACACCCTTCAAGTGTCCTCCACACCCTTCAAGTGTCCTCCACACCCTCAAGTGTCTCCACACCTTCAAGTGTCCTCACACCTTAGTGTCCTCCACACCTTCAAGTGTCCTCCACACCCTTCAAGTGTCTCCACACACTTCGTGTCCTCCACACCCTTCAAGTGTCCTCCACAAACCTTCAAGTGTCCTCCCACCTTCAAGTGTCTCACATCCTTCAAGTGTCCTCCCACCCTTCAAGTGTCCCACAACTTTCAGGTCCTCCAAACTTAGGTGTCCTCCACCCTTCTAAATGTCCTCACACCTTCAAGTGTCCTCCACACTCTTCAGTGTTCTCTACACCTTCAAGTGTTCTCCACACCTTCAAGTGTTCTCCACACCCTTCAAGTGTCCTCCACACCTTCAGTGTCCTCAACACCTTCAAGTGTCCTCCACACCCTTCAGGTGTCCTCCACACCCTTAATATTCTCCACACCCTTCAAGTGTCCTCCACACCTTCATATTGTCCTCCACACCCTTCAAGTGTCTCACATCACCTTCAAGTGTCCTCCACACCCTTCAAGTGTCTCCACACCCTTCAAGTGTCCTCCACACCTTCAAATGTCTCCACACCTTCAAGTGTCTCCACACCTTCAAGTGTCTCCACACCTTCAAGTGTTCTTCACATCCTTCAAGTGTTCTCCACACCCTTCAAGTGTCCTCCAACCCTTCAGTGTTTCCACATCCTTCAGTGCCCTCCACACCTTCAAGTGTCCTCACATCCTTCAAGTGTCCTCCACACCCTTCAAGTGTCCTCCACATCCTTCAAGTGTCCTCCACATCCTTCAAGTGTCCTCCACATCCTTCAAGTGTTCTCCACATCCTTCAAGTGTCCTCCACACCCTTCAAGTGTCCTCCACACCCTTCAAGTGTCCTCCACACCCTTCGTGTCCTCCACACCCTTCAAGTGTCCTCCACACCCTTCAAGTGTCCTCCACACCCTTCAAGTGTCCTCCACACCCTTCAAGTGTCCTCCACACCCTTCAAGTGTCCTCCACACCCTTCGTGTCCTCCACATCCTTCAAGTGTCCTCCACACCCTTCAAGTGTCCTCCACACCCTTCAAGTGTCCTCCACACCCTTCAAGTGTCCTCCACACCCTTCAAGTGTCCTCCACACCCTTCGTGTCCTCCACATCCTTCAAGTGCCCTCCACACCCTTCAAGTGTCCTCCACACCCTTCAAGTGTCCTCCACACCCTTCAAGTGTCCTCCACACCCTTCAAGTGTCCTCCACACCCTTCAAGTGTCCTCCACACCCTTCGTGTCCTCCACATCCTTCAAGTGCCCTCCACACCCTTCAAGTGTCCTCCACATCCTTCAAGTGTCCTCCACATCCTTCAAGTGTTCTCCACACCCTTCAAGTGTCCTCCACATCCTTCAAGTGTCCTCCACATCCTTCAAGTGTCCTCCACACCCTTCAAGTGTCCTCCACACCCTACCGGAGATCAGTGGCTAAGTTAGGTCAGGTCACTGGTCAAGAGCGGCTGTGTTTTATAGTATAAAATGATTTTGAATATGTAAAGCGCTAAACTCTTGTGGGTCCTTTAGCGCAAGTAACTTTGAGGTTTGATCCTCTGTCCACTAATGGCGAGGCAGTTTCTCACTCCTAACTGTTACCGAAGATATTTGTGTGCAGTGTTACAGTTTGTTAACCTGACTAGTTATGTGAGCTGTGAGGCGGGTTATTGTGCTTTCAGAGGCTGAGCCATTGGAGCTTTTGGTCATCTGACCGAGGCCTTCCGCTGGCTTACCGGTCCACCTCTTTAATAATTACGGTCAGAGTTATAACCATTTATGATGATGTGATCACGATCATGTTTCACATTATGCCTGTGAGAGAGGTGAGAGTGAATAAACGTTTAGATCAATTGGTGTATATTGCTAGATACACAAATTATGTAAATAACATGCTATTCCATTCTGTAACACCTGGAATGATTTCTATGGCTAATATAATACGTATGTAAGGAATGAGGTGCATCTTACCCGGGCAGGGATGGTAATATTTGTCGACGGGGCTGTTGTTGACTGGTATAAGATTTTAAACTGTTGAAAGACGTAGGTATGGTATGTGTGGGGAGGGGAGACAAAAAAAAATTCAGTACTAGGGACGCCAGGGCAAGATTTATCACTGTATTTCAGGAAAACGTTCAGACAGTGGAGCAACTGATAATATTCCTAATGCTAGAAGCGAATACACCAAAGTTATTTTCTGTATTATCCTTCAAGGTACTCTTTCTTTAGCTATCATATCAACTGTATCATGAAAAAATCCAATGTGTGATGAGATCCATAACCATTATGTATTAATTATTCTTCCCGGATTTATGCGTATCCATACCTGGCTTCTCCAATGACCATATTGTTAGTTATTATGTAAGTGATGAACCTCCAGTGATAACATGGAATCAGTAATATGATAGTTAAGCTCAGTGTCATAAGTTAGATTTAGCGCCATCAGGACTGCAAATAATTCAGTTTGCAGTGTAGACTCCCGGTTGTTAATTCTTATGCCTAATTCAACAAAGTTCGCATCGTTCCTAACTAGGGAGGTGGCAACAAGAGAGTGGAGAAATCCATCACAAATCACATATTTCTTATTACAATAACAAATTTAGCATCCCTGTTTGTCACACTGCACATTTTGTGCCCCCTAAAGGGTCATTTGGAAGCAGGTTATGGGTAACCTGACTTAGGATTGTCGTGAGGGTGGCTGGATCCATGAGGACGTGGGTGCCAAGG